GCACGGAGCGGGTGGATTTCGATGTGGCGGACCTTAGTCTGCCCTACAACGCGGTCCTAGGGAGGCCCGCGTTGGTGAAGTTCATGGCGGCGGTCCACTACGCCTATCTCCAGATGAAGATGCCGGGCCCCGGTGGCCCCATCACCGTCCATGGCGACCTCAAAGTCGCGCTTGCTTGTATGGAGCAGCACGCGGACCACCTTGCCGCGGCGTCCAAGCCCGCGGGTGGCGACGAGAGACTCAGCACCTCCGTCCCGGCCGCCCCAAGGCAGCGGATGGTCACGTGCGACGAGGTCCCGGTCAAGGAGGTTGCCCTGGGCGACGGCCCGTCCAAGACCACACGAATTGGTGGTCTTCTGGACGACAAATAGGAAGACGCGCTCGTCTCCTTCCTGCGGGCAAACGCCGACGTCTTCGCCTAGAGACCGGCGGACATGCCCGGGGTCCCCAGGGAGGTGATTGAGCACCGTCTCGCCGTGCGGCCGGGCGTCGGCAGGGCGTCCCCAGGGGTACCCTCCTGCTTCCTCTTCCCCCGGGCGTCGGCAGGGCGGCTGCCCCCCGGGCCCCCGTCGCGGGGCCCAGAAGCACGACCCCCTCCCGGGGTAGATTGTTCCCCCCTGCGGCTCCCGCCCGCGCCATTGTGGCCTCGGGGGGCCCGCTCCCCCGACGCCCCGACCACCTGCATGATGGTCAGGATCTTGGCGCGCTCTGGATCGCAGCAGAGGGGGAGGACCCCTTGGGGGATGAGGGATGCCTCCACGGAGCTAAGATTCAGCACCCGTTGGACCACCATCCTGAAGTCCTCAGGGTCCCAGTCCCATTTGCGCCCCTGGTGGGTCCTCATGTAGTCCTCGGGCCCGGTGTACTCCCAGGCGCCCCGAGCGCGCCGCTGGAGCGGCGCGATCCGGCGACGAAGGTAGTCGCCGAACACCATGGCCCCCGTGAGCCCCTGGGATCGCAGACCCGCCAGGCGGTCAAGAACGGCGTCGTAGCCGTCTCCCAGATCTACCGTCGCCCGCCAGCTGGAGGCCTGCGCCGGGGGCTGGCTCGGAAGTCGGAGGCGCACTTCGTCGGCGAGGGGGTGTGTAGAACCAATCGCTCTTCCAGTCGTCCCACTTTTTGCGGAGGACGCAGGGAATGTAGCGGTTCGGCACCTGCCCCCGCGGCTGGAAGTAGCAGCCACCGACTACCGTCGGCGGTGACACCGGCTGTACGGTGAAGAACCACCGGAACAGCCGGAGAGATGGGCGCACCCCGATAAACATCTCGCACAGGTGCGCGAAAATGGCCAACGTCATTATCGCGTTGGGGGTGAGGTGCGCCATCTGGAGATCATAAAACTCCAGAATATCCATGAAAAAAATAGAGAATGGCGGGACCAGCCCCGCCATTGCGAAAGAGAGGAAGAAGACGGACCGCCCCGGGTAGTGCGGCGCCAGGCGTCCCTCGCCCAGCGCGACCACCTCCCGGCCGGTGGCAGATTCCGGCATGAATCGGCGCGGCAGCCCGGCCTGCCTCTCGCTCACGATGCGGGAAGGCGGCAGCACGCTACCCTCGAGCGGTACGGAGCCCCGTGCCATGACGCCGGCGGAGGAGGAGCTTGAGAGCGAGCGAGTATGGCAAGGGTAGGGCGCAGGAAACGGAGAGTCAGAGCACAAGTGGCGAAGGCAAGGGGAAGAGTGGTGAGAGGAAGGAAACAAATCCCTTCCTTGGCGTCTTTGTACCCTTGCCAACGCTATGCCCGGCTCCTCGCTTCCCGCGCCCACTACCTCGCCCCCTCGTTTCTCGCGCCCACGCCTCCACTAACCCCACTCGCCCGTTTGCGGCGCACGCGGCAGATGTGCGGTCGTGGCGTTTGAGATGGGGCAGATCGTGCGCGCGTTTACTGCGCTCGCCAACCGCGAAAAACGCCATCATCATGTCCCCAGGCGAAACAAACCGGCTCGTCCCGATTCGCGCGCTGCTTGAGTAATGTAGCGGTCTTGAAGAGGCCGCTCATTATTGTCGATCGGTTTTTCCCTTGCCGATGCGCGCGATTTGCGACCGTTGGGTTTCTGCCCGCCTGTGGGGACCGGCCCCACCTGTCACCGGGCCTAAGGAGTGGCGTCACGCCCGAGCGCCTCCCTCGAGGGGGGCGGTCGCCCTGGCGTAACGCCGGGGGCTACTGTCGGTGACATGGGGCCGGGGGTATTGTGACTAGAGGCTTGGGTAGCCGCGATCACTCACGTGGCCCGACCTCCTCGGGGGGGTCGGGCCCGACGGTGACGTGGCCACCCCTCCCTCTGTCTCCCCGAGGGGTCGGGCCGCTCCCGTTTCGGCCCCAAGGGCTGGGGCTCCCCGACCCCCCGTGGTGTTGGCGCCACGTGTGTGGGTTAGGTGAGCATAGCGGGCTCACCTAACCGCATTTATAGCAGGTTGGTCGAGCGCGCCACGCCGCATTTAATGCGGCGCAGCGCGCGCTTATCCGGTCCGTGACTGATCGCGGTGTGTGACCGGTCACAGACCGGTCAGATCGCGGGTTAGGTGGCAACAGGCGGCCTGTCGCACGCCTCGCCCCGTCCCGTCGGAATGATGAGAGCTTCCTGGCTCTCGTCTCTAGCCGGAGCTGGCGTGCTGACTCCTGGAGTTGGTATGTCAGTCCCGGTCAGATCCATTCCAGGCTTCAGCGCAAGCATGGCAAGAAAGTCGCTGGCCATTGAATGAAGGTTGAAACGGGCGTCCACCGGGAGAGCTGACGAGCGGAGCAGGAGGCGTGTGTACTGCTTGTCAGAGGTCATTTCCGGCTGTAGATTAGCCCTCATTGTAAAAAGCATGTTTCCTTTCTTAGGTAGCGGGAGGCCCTTGTGGTGACCCCGGACCAGATAAAAAGGAGGCCCAGGCCTAGGAAAGAGGGGAGAAAAAAAAGAGGAAGGAGAAAGAGGCTGAACTCTCTCTCGCTCTGGAGCTCTCTGTATTCCTTCACACACAGATCCACCAGAACACAGGAGTAGGGTATTACGCTTCTCAGCGGCCCGAACCTGTCTACGTCGCCCGTGTCTTGTGCGCTCCTTCTCGCTGACATTCCTCAGATCGAGGGCGAAGAACCTCACATAGCGCCCCCGGCCGAACCGGCAAAGGGGGGCCTGCGCGGTCTTCCGGTGAGGAGCCCCCACGCTCCGTCAGCTATTATGGAAGAGAACATCTTTAAATTTTTTTGAAAGGTTCCCTTTAATTCGACACCAATCAAATTAATTAGGTGCGACTGAGGTGTCGTAATTGATCTCATCAAAAGAAACATAAGAATAGCTAGAAGTTTGCTAAATCCGCCTATAGGTTGTCAAATGGGTTGTGTCTTTCTGTGTCTGTCTGGACACACATTTAGACAACTCAGGAACAACATGATCCGTTTGGCTATGGGTTTTGCTGGCACGACCGATCCAGCCACACCGTGCTTGGGCTGCTACCTGGCTTGGTGTATCAACACGACAAGTGCATGAGCGAGCCAGCACAACATGGCCTAGGAATAGCACAACACGGCCTAACCCATACGGTACGATGATGACTGGTGACTGACAGTCGCCAGTCATGAAACTGTCATCCAAGCGGGAGCTATGAGGAAAGGAGATCGAAAGAATTGAGTAAGCCAGGAGCTCGAGATAGAGAAAGTGATGGTGGATGCTCGTCGATATAGGCCTACCACGATAGCATGGTGGCGCGGTCAACCCTATTCATGAGTACAACCACTAAGCACGTGGTCATTGGGACTCACCGGCTTGGGATGAAGGAAGTAGAAAGTGAAGGGTCACAGCGGTGCTTGATGATGAGGAAGAGGAATGTGCTATCGGTGAGTGAAGGACTCTCTGCATCAGAGTGTTCTAGTCCCATGGGGCTTCATTTGGAGAATGCGATTAGTACTTATATTTTTTAGGTTTCAACCTTTTGCGTAGGGTGGGAATGGGGTGTGCAAGCAATCCGGGTGGATTGAGTGCTAGGCAAAATTACTAATTAGGGGGTGTTTAGACGAGAACACTAATAGGCGATCAGTCGCGCGCCTCCTCTCCCGCGCGACTGGACACGTGGCACGTGGAGATGGGCGCGGGCGGCGGCGCGGTTTTCCTTTTTTTTTTGGTTTTCTTTTTTCCCGCACGTTCCTCTTTTTTTGTTTGTTCTGTTTTTTTTTCCGCGGTTTTTTTTTCACACGGTTTCTTTTTTTTCGGTTTCCTTTTTTCCCGCCCGTTCCTTTTTTGTTTGTTATGTTTTTTCCACGGTTTTTTTTCGCACGTTTTTTTTCTATCCGTATTTTTTTTCAGTTTTTTCGGTTTTTTAATATGTATGTATGCAAAGTTTGTATACACGTATGCAATGTTTGTATACATGTATAAAAAAGATACGGATAGAAAGTTTGTATATATACGTATCCAAAGTTTGTATACACGTATGCAAAGTTTGTATACACGTATGCAAAACAAACTTTCTATATATACGTATATAAAGTTGGTATATTTTGTATACATACATATATAAACTTTATATACGATATATACAAACTTAGTATTTATATACATCGTATACAGATTTTATATTTGTGTATATGTTTATTATACATATAAAAAAATATACATATACAAAATATATACACATATATATACACTTTGTATATGTATATAAAGTATATACATATGTATGCATTGTAGATGAGAGAGACTAGAAGGCCATAACTGACCGCGCGCCGCGCGCGACTGATTGCCGATCAGCCAGGCCCGGTGTTTACATCCAGGGGTGTAAAGTTAGTTTTGCTGTGTCACATCGGGTATTAAATAGGGTGTCGCATATGGTGTTCGAACACTAATAAAAAAAACTAATTACAGAATCCATCATTAAACCGCGTGATGAATTTATTAAGCATAATTAATCCATCATTAGCAAATGTTTACTGTAGTATCATATTATTAAATTATAGAGTAATTATGGTTAAAAGATTTGTCGATGTTACAGGGCGAAAATTTTGGGGTGGGATCAGGGCCTTACCCAGTTACCCTCGCCATTTTTGTGCGTATCCCTCCTCGTCAGTTTGCCCTTGTCCACCGCCTCCGCCTCCGCCTCCGCCGATCCCCATCCATCCCGCGAGCGAGCAGGGACGCCGTCGTTAGTCCTGCTGCTTCCGCCGCATCCATCCTGGTGAGCACATCCTCCGCACCGCCGCCTGCGCCGATCCCCATCCATCGTGTGTAATTGTTCCTAAGAAGAAGGAAATCGTCGTTCAGTGCAGTGCGGTGCCTCGAGGATATTTCCCTGTTCCCTCGGTGTTGACTCCTCGTGAATTCGCCCGCCGCCTGTGCCGCCGCCGATCACCATCCATCCCACGGGCAAGCAGGGGCGCCGTCACCGCATCCTGGTGAGCATCCATCCGCTACGCACATCCTCTTTCTCATCCCTCTTTACCCACGCTTTCTCGAATTTGTGTTACCATAGCTTCTCTTCTAGAAATTTGCATTAACCTTAATTCTAAGAACAGTCTGTTTGCTCCCAAAAAGTTTGGGGGTTCAACTGAACCCCAATGTCCCATGTTAGATCCACCCCTAGCTCATGTTCTGGGCAGACATGAATCTCTGAATCTCCTCCAGGACCTTATTTGTATGGTGGGTCAGGCGATCAAAATCAGTCACCTGAGCTCGAAGCATCAACGGGAGCTCTAATCCATCACATTAATCCAATAAGCCGGCAGCACTCATCAACTGTCATTGAAGCCTACCTTAATTGTCTTGTACTGCCATAGGGACCACGTTAGCCCGAAGCCCTCTTGTTGTTCTGTAGAGCTATACCTCACCAGCCACCACTACTGGCATGTTGAAGCTTCCCGCCGAAGCAACAATTTGATGATTAACATCTCCAATCACTCTACACTTTGCATGGTTTAATTTTTGTCCCTCAACTCCAAACTGGGTAAAACCCATGTCCGAACTTTCAAAATTAGGTAAACCTCGTCTCTTCACCTGTTGATAGTTGTTTTGATCCATGTGGCTCCCACATGGGATCCGAGAATCCGAGATAGTAGTTGGGTCTGCTTGTCATGGAGAGGTTTTGACAGATATAACATCCGCATTGGATGAGAGTGGGAGTTGGTTTGATTGTCTTGAAAACCGTACCCCCATGTAACATCTGCAATTCCGCATTGGCTGAGAGTGTCATTCATGTAAATATTAGTTGTTCACATCTTCGACTCAACTTATTATTTTTCTAGATTTCTTTTTATTCTTTGCTGCTCTGTTTCAAACAACAATCAATATATTTGATACATAGCTAGAATTTTTATGTTTACAACATAATAATAACAGCCCGTGCAAATGCACGTGTAGGTGGTTACAATGAACTGATTGTTGACTAAGTAGATTGTATTAATCGTGAATTTTAGTAGGATTTTGTGTTAAATAGTATATGCATTTGAAAATAGAAATAACATGTACTCTTTAGTTTTAGGGGGTGTTTGGGAACTAGGGACTAAATTTAGTCCCTCTCACAAAAGTATTAAGTCCCTATGGTAGGGACTTATGTTTTTGTGAGAGGGACTAAAGTTTAGCCCCACTTTAGTCCCTCCAACCAAACACCACCTTAGTTTTCCAAAAATAATAATTCTATAATTCAAAGTTTACTATGAAGCTATACATTGGCCATTGTGGACTCTCATTTTAGTGTTATATTAATTTGATTTCAAAATTAAAAAAATAGCAAGTTGTAACTGATTTGGATTCCTCTCTAAGTCTAAGCATATATAATTTGAAAAGTATCCAATATGTTTATATATTTACAGTAACAACAATAAAAACCCAATACAACACACAGGTTGGCAACTAGGAGTGTTAATGTTTCTAAACTCAGCGAAAGCTACAGTAACTTTATAGTAAACATTGAAGATATGGGGGAGGCCAAGCCATTGCTCGTCTCTGCCTATCTCTGTCCCTGGTCCTACTCCAACCATGTTGGCACTGTTTTGCAGAAGGGAAGAGGAAGATGGATCAGCACCACGTGCAGCAGCAGCAGTATGTTGACCCTTATCGGACAATGGTGCTGTCACCACAGCCTGACCACCTCAATGCCCTCCAGTACAATCACCAGCAGCAGCCACAGCCACCACCGCAAGCAACTCCACCACCACCACAACATCACCATGCCTCACTCGCCTCCCACTTCCATCTCCTCCATGTAAGTCACAGTCCTGATCTCTTAATGCTTGTCTTTGTGTCTAATAAATTGAAGGGGAAGGATGTCATGACAAATTTTGGCTGCCGGAGTGCCGGTAGTTGGTCTTCCATTATCTAAAAAAAGTCTATACACACAAAGGTTCAGCTCATTCTGCAGTTGCAACTTGGCCATAGAAGCATCCTAGAGGCTGTTATTCGCTTGCTATATTATAATTGGATAACTTAAGTGCAAATTGTCTGCTGCATCGTCTCTTGTGAAGAAAAAGGTTGCTACAAACTATGCATTTTGCTAATTACATGTCTTTCTTAAGTTGACAACTGTTGTAAATCAAGTCTGCTCGAGTTATTTATGTGTCTGCAAGAGCATTAGTGTATTGGCTGCCACTTTTCTGTGTATTTGGATGCTTACGTGTTGCTTCTGTCCTTTTAGGAATATAGAACTTCACTATTATGCATGCTCTACAATGCTCAGTTTTCCTTAATTGTTACTACCTTCATCCCGAAATATAAGGGATCTTTTTTGGACGGAGGTAGTACCAAATACTACTTACACAGGAGGTCACTATATTTGCACACCTTTATCAATTAACTCTATGAATCATGCAAATTATTTTCTTGCCTCCCTGAACTTGCTTCTATTCGTATGTTAAGTCATTATTGAGATAACTAACAGAATGTGGTGATCTGGTCAGCACCAGTGGATGGTGTCAGTACATACTCCAATGTGGAAGAGTACTTTTAGGGCAGTGGTGGAGCTGGAACCATATTGAGGGTGGTGCCCTACTTTACTATATAGATGGCAGCAATTACTCTAAATAATGGTATTTGTTCATTTGTAGATAACTATTGACACAAAAAATCATTGAGTAGCAAGTAAAAGTGCTTACCGAAATATAAGATGAAAAGAAACCGCAAAGGGGAACATCAAAAAATACATAAAAGACGATCAATTTATGCAAAATACATCCTCGGCCTCAAAGCTGTCAATCTCAATATCATCGATAGGTAATAGCCTACAATAAAAGCAGAACAGAAGTTAGAAACATATTAATTTCAACTAAAAATTTATATCCAATGAACATGTAAAAATATAAAAATAAATGTGTTACCTTTTAGTATACTCGTGTTCTCATGTTCATAAAACGGTCAACTACAGCTTTGTTGGTTACTCTTCTCATTTCTTCTTTCTCCACATAGCAAATAAGACTATGACTTAAGTAGTCATCACCCAACTATTGTCATCTTGTTCTGAACAAGAATTTCGTACAGCTACATTATTGGAACTATCGGGCGCTTTCCTCTTGAGATACTTGTCCATAACCTGTCAATTAAATAGTTTTATTATGTTAGACTTACACTGCACAATAGAACAATGTATACCCCCAAAACAATTAAGCAATGATGGTGTCACAGTATGCTTACAATTTTACTAAGTGATGGTTGATGGACTGATGGCTACAGGACAATAGGACTACTTGTCCCTTCTAGAGATCAATTGAAACTTTCAGTTCTTCAAACTTTAAACCCTACCTTATATAAATCTGGATATTGACAGGGTGCTATCAACAAGTTACAAATGAAACTAATATGATTAAAAATAAGACTAGAACTAGAAGAGAGGATAAATTGAAAGTTTGGAACTAATTAAAAGGAAGATAATACATCTCTTAATTTAGTCTCTTGCTTGTGCACTGCTGACTGCTCGGCTGCTGGCTGCTGGCTGCAGGCTGCCCCTGTAGTCTGGCTGCTCGCTGCCGCAGTGCCGCTGTAATGCTGCCGGCGGCCGGCTAGGGCGACCAGCACCAGGCCAGGACGGCGAGCAATGGCGAGTCGGCGACCAACGGCTGAGCATGAGCAGCAGGAGTAGACGGCGACTCGGCGAGCAGTGGCGAGACGAACAGACACACAGCCGCGCAGATGCTGTATTGTGGTTTGGAAAAAGAAAGAAAAGAAAAAGCAAAAAACGGGAGTCGAGGAGGTGTGCGGTGCCGGCGTGGCTGTGATTGACGCTCGAGGCGTCGTCTCGCTTCCAGTAGCCCAGACGGTGCACTGTTTTCATGGGCCTTAGGCCTTCCACGACTTGCTTATGGGCCAGGGGTGGTGCACGAATTTGGGCCAAGGGGTTCCCATGTGGTGAAAATAAGGGGGTAAGTACTAAATCTGAAAATTGGGCCGGGTGCCTGGGAACCCCCCTAGGCCCATTGGGCTCCGCCCCTGTTTTAGGGGTCTATTTATTAAATAATAAGTTATCAAAAAGGACTAGAAATTCCTGCACTGTTAAATTAAGCAATAGGTGAATAGGATAAGAGGCAACAATGTAGTAATTGGCTGGGAGAGGGACAACAGCTGCCATTCTGCCACAAGTGGAGTAGATGGACTAAGGGGCTGCTTGGTTGGCGGCTTGGAATGCCACGCCACGGCGTGGCTCGCCACAGGAGTGTGGCGGACGTTTCGTCCGCCTCAGAAAACACTGTAGCGTGGCGAAAATACTGTAGCTATGGCATTCAATGGCTGGGATCCAAACACACCCTAAGATGTGAATAATTAAATATGGATGCTAATTTTAGTCAGGTGGGTGAAATTCTGAAAAGGAGATTTGCTACAATCAACGAATGAAATACCGGTGTGTTTTTTTTAACATTAAAAAGCTATTTTTGAGCTGCTTTTGGAATTTAACATGTGGCAGTGTAAATGATGATTGCTTGTTATGGAATATCCGCCAAGCACATCTACACAATGGCGTATATCTAATTTTCTTATTTCATTTACAAGAAAGTACTACCTTTACAAATCAATGGTTTTTTATTTGTTTATCAGTTGACGACAAGATTAGCTGATGCTATTGGAAAGGGCACAAGGGATCAAAATTCTGATGCACTGGTAAGAAATTCATGCAGCTCTTAATAGTGTTTTAATAAATTGATGTGATTCTACTCCATGATGCATGATTCTTGTTGTAAAGAATGACATTAATTTCTCTTTGGAGTGTACATATTCTTGGAAAGTTTATTGTGTAGGAACTATTTTTCAGTTGTTTTGCTTCATAAACTTATTATGAAACCACTTCCTGTTGTAATATAATATGGAGGAAATGTATGGAATATGCTAGGTGACTGATTCTTACCATATAATATTTTCTACTGAGAGCGATGAATCTGAAAGACAATATGCCAATGTTGTCACATTGTTGCTGTGTCATATGCCGTCCTGGTGATGGGTGGCACTTGCCTGGGGTCCTCATCTAGGATGAGAGCTAGAGGGAGGGAGCTGAGTTTATCTGTTTATGTGTTGCGCTACTCCTTTCCTTTTTATATTTTATTTCCGTAGCATTGCTATGGCCTGACCTGGATGCCACCCTGGCTCTGTGGGCTTACGGTGCCTTGCCAGAGCACCGTGACAACATCAATATACTTGAATTATATTATTATAAACTACATATTTTTTATAGTTAATATGTACACTGAACTGGGATTAATGCTCTCTGCGATCTGTTTCCACACTCTTTATTGATGCTATCAAACTTTCCAGTTAGTAAACCTGCGTATTTTGTATCTCATATGTGCCTGTGCAAAATTGTATAACTTTCCAGTTTCCACTATCCTGTTATTGTTGTACTGCTTATAATGTTATAGCATGAATATCTGAGTAATTAGATGGTCTTTTTATATGTTTGTGTAGGTTGAAGATTTGACCAGTCAATTTGCTAGGTGTCAACAACTATTAAACTCCATATCGGGAACACTAAGCTCGAAATCTATAGTAAGTTTTGTTACATCTAATGAGGTATTTGGCTTGTTAAATTTGCTATGCGATCTGATCACATAGTAATAGATATCGTTAAATCTTCTTTGTTGTAGCTAGGCTGTAATTCAAATACATGGTAACAAATAACAGCGTGATAGAAATCTGGTATGTCCCATCCTTGGAAATCAGTAATCTGCCGAGTGCCAACGTACACATCAGATCTAGTTCTTGTGATTTTTTGTCTGAATTGTTGTCTTGCCTTTCGTATTTATGTGGTGAATTGCTTGTTTATATGTTCATTGCATGGATGATCACTTATTCGAACCAAACGATGGAAAGGGTTTCCATTCCATTCCTTGATTCAGCCAGACAAAGTCGGCATTTTGCTTAATCCATTTCAGTTTCCAGTGTTTCTAAGTTCCAACACTACCTATATGACTCCTGTTGCACGAAGACCGTAAGAGTGAGGAGATACAAAATCTAAGAATCACGTAATGGCATTTCAAAGTTTTGTAGCATTGAAGCATGGTAGGCAGGAAATATTCTAATACTATGCTCATGATTCATCAATTGACAAGCATTATATGAAATGACCCTTCGATTATAGGTGGAGTAATTTTACTAAACAAGAATAACTAATTTGTAAGTAGTTGGGCATACAGTTAGCTGTTCTGACTAATATCTAATACATAGCTCAATGTTTGTTTTCATGAAAAAAGATGGTGACTGAGATGATAATAATTCTAATAGATGGTCCGGTAATAAAATATTTTTTGAAATCTAGCGGCCATTTTGGTTTGCTACCAAAATGTGCCCTACGAATTCATTTGGCAACTTTAATAGTGCTTTGATATTGTTTGGATTGAAGCCAATTTATAGCTAAATCAATGTGATATTATACCAAATTGTTGGTAGTACCAAAACTTGCAAAGAACCAAATGTTGGCGATATGGCATGAGACCCTTCGACCAAACCTGCCGAAAGCATGCGACCAATGGGGATTAAAGCCCGAGACGTCAGGGTTAGTCAAGGCGAACCCCCCCATGGCGAAGACTATGGAGCAAGGATGGCGAGAGGCAGGGAATCGCAGCCAAGCTAGAGGCCTCCTGGGCGAAGGACGCAAGGCGAAGAGCATATGCCGAAGGGGGACGACTTCGCCGTAGCAGGTTCGGCCCCGGGAGGGCCGAAGAAACTATCCTGGCCCATCAAGCCTAGGGGTCAATTGGGTCGCCAATAACCCGTCGGCCCGCTAAGGGCCCATGGACTGCAATTACGCTATGTACCCATGTAAATGTCCCTTTCATAAGGGCAACCATGTAAATTCCCCTGCATAACGAAAGCCCTAGTAGTAAGACCTGTAATGGGGGCTATAAATAGCCCCATAGGGCCATGTAATGGGGGGATCCCAAGTAAAAATTCTCAAATTAATACACTTTACTTCTTTTCCAACCACTGTTGAGTGACCACGTCTTTCGACGTATGCGGTTGTCGTTTCGACAACAGCTGGCGCCGACTGTGGGGACCTCCGAGCGAAACCACTGAGAGCGAATGCCACCGAAGGTCGTGAAGGAGAAGGTTACAAGACGAAAGGAAAGCGAAGCCGGGGCGGATATGGCCGGCGAAGAGGGAGCAGAGCCTTCGGCGCTCGTCGCCGAAGATGGAGGAGCGCCATCTGCTTCCGCACCTGCGCCATCACTACCGCCTTCAGCCCCTGCCACCTCTGCACAGGTGCCGAATGCGGCTGACATGGCGAAGGCGGCTGCGGCGGCAAGGTCACTCCAGACCAGGGCGGAGATCCTTTCGACAAGCCAACTGCTGGTGCCCCAAGCCGCTCCGTCGCAGCCGGCAGCGGCCCCAACTGCGCTCGCCGCCGTGCAAGCCCAAGTCAACCCTGATCCCGAAACACAAACCGAAGCCGACATGGAAGCCATGCGACAGAACATGACACGACTCCAAGACATACTTCGCCAAATGCAAGAACAGCAGCAGGCATACGAGGCGGCAAGGCGGTCCAAGGTCACTTCGGCCCCAATCCTCCAGTATTCGGCAGGCTATGTCCCACCCCAAGTTTATCCACAAGTACCGACCCAACCCTTTCCGCCACAAGTTGTGCAAGCGCCAATGTACTTCGCTGGGCAGCCATCGACCGCAGCAGCGCATCCGGCCCCTCACGTGCAACTGCAAGCTCAACCGGTCGCTGCCCAAGTACACCCTCAACTGCCTGGCCAAGTGCCACAAACAATGGCAGAAGGGGCTTCGGCTCTGCAGGCACAGCTCCAAGCTTTCCTTCAGCAGCTCAGCCAACCCCACAACATTTCAGGTACAGCCCCTTCGGCTCACCCGGAGGGGAATACAAGTCAAGGTGCGCCTAGTTGGTTGCCGTCGAATCAGCTAGGTCTGGGGGCTTCACCGTGGAGTCAAAGACCGCAGTTCGACTTCATCAATGCTGCTTAGGCACCAACCGTTTGGCCGCAAGCACCAACGCCAGGCTTCGGAGCAAACCGAGCACCAAACCAGGTCGCTATGACATGGTCAGAGCCAACTTTCGACCCATCCATGACAGCTCAGCAAGCATCACCAATCGGAGCCGGGCAACCGAATGCCATGGCCCAACCTCACGCGCAAGCCGTGATTTCGCCCTTCGCCTCGCCGTAACCGCAGCAAGGTGCCGTGAATAGGGCAGGGGGCGAAAAGGGGCTACCGCTAAGTGGGGGAATCAAGACCCGTCCAATCCCACCCCAGTTCAAGTTCCCACCCGTCCCACGCTACTCAGGCGAAACTGACCCAAAGGAATTCCTCTCCATTTATGAGTCCGCGATCGAAGCGGCTCATGGCGACGAAAATACCAAAGCAAAGGTAATACATCTCGCTCTAGACGGCATCGCCCGTTCTTGGTATTTCAATTTGCCAGCCAATAGCATTTACTCATGCCAGCCAATACCAAAGCCAATAGCATTGTCCTTAACTTTCGAGGCACCTATGAGGAGCCGAAGACGCAGCAGCATCTACTCAGCATTCGCCAGAGGCCGGGGGAGTCGATAAGGGAGTACATGCGTCGCTTCTCGCAAGCCCGGTGCCAAGTTCAAGACATAACCGAGGCGTCTGTCATAAACGCCGCTTCGGCCGGTCTACTTGAGGGCGAACTCACAAGAAAAATCGCCAACAAGGAACCACAGACGCTTGAGCACCTACTTCGCATCATTGACGGGTACGCAAGGGGCGAAGAGGATTCCAAGCGACGGCAAGCAATACAAGCTGAGTATGATAAGGCTTTCGTCGCCGCTGCCCAAGCCCAAGCACAAGTTCAAGTTGCCGAACCACCTCCTCTCGCTGTTCGCCAGCCTCAGCCGGCGATCCAAGGACAACCGCCAAGACAAGGTCAAGCCCCCATGACCTGGAGGAAGTTCAGAACCGACCGTGCGGGCAAGGCTGTGATGGCTGTCGAAGAAGTGCAAGCCCTCCGCAAGGAGTTCGACGCCCAGCAAGCAAGCAACCATCAGCAGCCTGTCCGCAAGGTCCGAAAAGACCTCTACTGCGCCTTCCACGGACGCTCTTCGCACACCACGGAGCAATGCCGAAACATTCGGCAACGTGGCAACGTGCAAGATCCAAGGCTGCAGCAGGGAGCAGCTGTTGAAGCACCTCGTGAAGCAGCTCAAGAACAAGCACCCCTGGCCGAACAGCGCCAAGATGCGCAGCGCAGAGTAATCCAAGTGATTACAAGGGCCGACCCACCGATCCAGCTGTCGAAGCGACAAAAGAAGATGCAGCTACGAACGGTCCACAATATCACTTCGGCAGGCGAAGGGGCCCCGCAGTATCTGAATCAGCAAATCTCTTTTGGGCCAGGAGACGTCGAAGGAGTAATGTTCCCGCATCAAGATCCTTTGGTGATCTCGGCCGAGATAGCTGGTTTCGAGGTCCGGCGAATCCTGGTTGACGGAGGGAGTTCGGCCGATGTCATCTTCGCCGAAGCATATGCCAAGATGGGGTTGCCCACCCTAGCCCTTACCCCGGCGCTAGCCTCGCTCCGTGGTTTTGGCGGAGAAGCAGTTCAAGTACTTGGCCAAGCACAGTTGTTGGTAACTTTCGGCGCAGGGGAAAACAGACGCGAAGAGCAAGTATTGTTCGACGTTGTCAACATCCCTTACAACTACAACGCCATCTTCGGCCGTGCAACCCTGAACAAGTTCGAAGCTATTTCCCACCACAATTATCTTAAGCTCAAGGTGCCCGGCTCGGTGGGAGTGATCGTGGTCAAGGGGCTTCAGCCTTCGGCCGCTTCAAAAGGCGATCTTGCCATAATCAACAGAACAGTACATAATGTTGAGGCCGAACCACATGGCTGGGCGAAGCACGCGCCAAAGCCTGCCCCTCACGGCAAGATAATCAAGATGCAGATTGATGACGCCGATCCCACAAAGCTCGTATCGCTGGGGGGCGACATGGGCGAAGAAGTGGCGGCAAGCATCCAAGAAGTACTCAAGAAAAATAGTGATATCTTCGCCTGGGGCCCCGATCAGGTGGGAGGTGTTTCGACAGACCTCATCATGCATCACCTAGCAGTTAAGCCGGATGCCAAGCCAAGGAAACAGAAGCTGCGCAAGATGTCCGTTGATCGCCAAGAAGCAGCAAAACCCGAAGTCCAAAAATTGCTCAAGGCTGGGGTCATTCAAGAGATCGACCATCCTGAGTGGCTGGCGAATCCAGTGCTGGTTCGGAAGTCAAACGGCAAATGGCGCATGTGTATCGATTTCATAGACCTAAACAAAGCATATCCGAAGGACGATTTCCCCCTGCCACGGATCGACCAGCTCGTGGATTCAACAGCTGGCTGCGAACTCATGAGCTTTCAAGATGCATATTCCGGCTATCACCAGATCCACATGAACCCGGCCGACATCCCCAAGACAGCCTTCATCACACCATTCGGCACGTTTTGTCACCTCAGGATGCCTTTCGGCCTAAGGAATGTCGGAGCAACCTTCGCCAGGCTGGTGTATAAGGTCCTTTACAAGTAGTTGGGGCGAAATGTGGAGTCTTATGTCGATGATATCGTCGTAAAAAGCCGCAAGGCTTTCGACCACGCGTCCGACCTACAGGAGACCTTCGACAACTTGCGCGCAGCGGGTATGAAACTGAATCCTGAGAAGTGCGTTTTCGGCGTTCGCGCAGGCAAGTTGTTAGGCTTCCTTGTTTCTGAAAGAGGCATTGAGGCGAATCCCGAGAAAATCGATGCCATTCTGCAAATGAAGCCCCCGTCGAGCGTACGTGAAGTACAAAAGCTCGCAGGCCGAATTGCGGCACTCAGTCGATTCCTCTCAAAGGCAGCCGAAAGAGGTTTGCCCTTCTTCAAGACCCTCCGGGGCGCGGGAAAATTCAACTGGACACCTGAATGCCAAGCAGCGTTCGACGAGCTAAAGCAATACCTGCAAAGCCCGCCAACTTTGATTAGCCCAGCACCAGGAAGCGAACTGCTACTATACCTAGCAGCTTCGCCAGTGGCAGTCAGTGCTGCCCTTGTCCAAGAAACAGATTCAGGCCAGAAACCGGTCTATTTCGTCTCCGAAGCATTGCAAGGAGCGAAGACAAGATACATTGAGATGGAAAAGCTCGCTTACGCCCTGGTAATGGCTTCGCGCAAGCTTAAGCATTACTTTCAGGCCCACAAAGTCATAGTGCCATCGCAGTACCCTTTGGGCGAAATACTCCGGGGCAAAGAAGTTACTGGCCGGCTTAGCAAGTGGGCAGCAGAGCTATCCCCTTTCGACTTACATTTTGTTGCCCGAACTGCTGTCAAGTCCCAAGTGCTAGCTGACTTTGTGGCCGAATGGACACCGGCACTGGCCCCCGAGCCCGAACCCGTCGAACAGCCCTGGGTGATGCATTCCGACGGTTCGTGGTCGCACAAGGGGGCGGGCATTGCGGCAGTACTCACTTCGCCAAGTGGTGTGCCGATTCAGTATGCCACAAGGCTGCAGTTCGACATAACCAACAACGCAACAGAATACGAAGCCATTCTTCTGGGCCTAAGAAAGGCGAAAGCAATGGGGATTCGGCGCCTGCTAATCCGAACCGACTCTAAGCTGGTGGCGGGCCATATCGACAAGTCCTTTGAGGCAAAAGAAGAAGGGATGAAGAGGTATTTGGAGGCCGTTCGGTCTATGGAAAAGTGCTTCACCGGCATAACAGTCGAACTTTTACCTAAACCTAATCACCGGTTTCGCGGCTGTGCTGGAGATCGCCAAGAGGGTGTTCGCTACGACGATATCTTGCAGTCGCGTAGGCGAAACATGAGAGCCTGCCCCGGATTTCGCAGGGGTAGGGCTGGGGGTATAACCATGAGAGCCATCCTCCTCAGAACCGGCCTCCGCATCCTCCTCTTCCTCCTCCCCATCACTTTCGACGGCGGCCTTCGCGCTACGGCGAGTTCGGACTTGGCCGCCTTTCGCGACCGCACGTTTGCGTTTTTTCAAAGTGCCAGCCTCGTCATCGCCGGCCCGAGAGGGGTTCGATCGGCTTGGCAATTTGCCGGTATAGACACGGTTCACTCGGCCGTCAACATGGCGCTGGAGCAAGCGGGCGAACTCGGCTGTGGTTAGAGCTCCGATCATCTTCGACGCCTCAATCTCAGCGTCTTCCAAAGTCCGCACTGCGAAAAGAGAGGAACACAACCGTTTAGCCAAAAAAGCGCTTCCACGAAGGAAGTATGCGGCCTAAGTCGAAAACAAAAACCTTACTTTCGACCCCGGCGGGGAGAACAAGGCGGGGAAGCCCAAGAACTTCTTCGCCCTCGTTCACAGAAACGTCCCACACACGGGCGAGAGGGAAATCCGAAGGAGACAAAACTCCTCGCAAAGATCCCGGGTGCTCAGCCGCCGGGCAACCTTGCGAAGGAGAATGAGTCGGGACTCAAGAGTCCCGTCGATCTCCACGTTTGGCTTCGCGTTGATGCAGACGGCAGAACGCTCAAAAAGCAGCCAGTTTGCCTGAGTATTTTCGGTGGAGTAGGGGTTGCTGATATAGAACCATTTCTGCATCCAGTTCCTGTCCCATTTCGCCATCGATGCAGGCACTGGCCAAGCATCTGAACGCTCCGGCCGCAGCATGAAGTTCACGCAGCCGAAAACGGTTTTCCTCGGACCCGCCGGCGTTTGCACGTCTTTGGTCGAGGCGCATGCAGTAATCAGAGCGGCGAATAGCTTGGCGGTAGGGGCGAACCCACAGGTCCGGCACATCCAAGCGAAAACCGCCATCTTCGGGAACGCTGACGGGCTAAGTTGGGGAAGCCTAACGTCATACATCGAAAGCACCGAAGGCAAGAAGTTGTCGCATGGGAGGCGAAGCCCAGCAGCGAAGTATGCGGCGAAGACAACCGGTCGCCCATCCCCAGGCGAGGGAACAACAGCCTTGCCCCCACACGATCCTTGGCCCTCTATGAGAAGACCGGATGATACCAGTTCGCCCAAGTCGGCCTCTTTGACAAGAGATTTGCCAAGGAAGCACGACCATCCTTCGCCAAGGCTTCCAGGATCTTCGCCAGTTGACCCGGCCTTGGTAGGCTTGCGGGGAGCCATTAGGCTTGTAGCATAGGAAAGAGAGGTAAAAAGCCGAAAGGCTAGGAGCACGACGATGGCGAAAAAGCTAAAAAACAGGAGAGCGAAGAGAGCACGGAGCGTGTAAAGCGGTAAAAAGGGGAAGAGCACGGGGAGAGTGAAAAATGGCAGGCCGGTTTGGGGGCATATATAACCCTGTAGTGAGACCGTTCGCCTGCCAACCAATCGAGCTCTGACACGTGTCAAAGGGCAGACGAAACGGTAAATTCCCATCGGGACGGTGCTGAACAGTAAAAAGCCCGATTACGGAGAAGGAAAAACCCAAAGGGCCTATTACTATTCATAGTAATAAAAGAGACTAAATAAGCCCCCATCGACGCTTTGCAACGAACGTGAAGAGGAGATTTTTCTGAAAGAAATTTTTTGTAAACGTAGAAACAAACAAACTTTACTTGTAGGAACAATATAGGTTTCGACAGGAGCACCGGTCGAAAGGGGGCGCCACATACCATACCACATGGTTTGCACGGTCTCGGCCGAAGCTCCTATCTCACCCTTGCCCGTGAGGGGCTTGTTGGCGATATGGCATGAGGCCCTTCGACCAAACCTGCCGAAAGCATGCGACCGATGGGGATTCAAGCCCGAGACGTCAGGGTTAGTCAAGGCGAACCCCCCCCCCCCTGGCGAAGACTATGGAGCAAGGACGGCGAGAGGCAGGGAATCGCAGCCAAGCTAGAGGCCTCATGGGCGAAGGACTCAAGGCGAAGAGCATATGCCAAAGGGGGACGACTTCGCCGTAGCAGGTTTGGCCCCGGGAGGGCCAAAGAAGCTATCCTGGCCCATCAAACCTAGAGGTCAATTGGGTCGACAATAACCCGTCGGCCCGCTAAGGGCCCATGGACCGCAATTACGCTATGTACCCATGTAAATGTCCCTTTCATAAGGGCAACCATGTAAATTCCCCTGCATAACCAAAGCCCTAGTAGTAAGACCTGTAATGGGGGCTATAAATAGCCCCTAGGGCCATGTAATGGGGGGATCCCAAGTAAAATTCTCAAATTAATACACTTTACTTCTTTTCCAACCACTGTTGAGTGACCACGTCTTTTGACGTATGCGGTTGTCGTTTCGACAACACCAAACAAGCCCTAAATTAGGTTATCTACCCCCATTATAGTTATTCTTGAATCAGGGTTGATATTAAGACCTTGTGATTACTGTGATTACAAGATATATCATAATGTTAAGAGAATTTCTTCAGCATCCCTGAATATTACCAAAAATTCAGAGCTTTCCTTCACTTCAACTGATTTTTTTTTATTTCTCTGGCCTGCCATTGAGAATTTAAGCTTTCGTTTAATGCCATTTGATAGCTTGTTCCTAACTTTATGTATTCCTCCCATTAACTTTATTGGAGGATTGATTTTTCCCTTTTTCTGCAATGGGTGAAACTAGCCTGCATATTGTGTTAGGTAATAGGGCCAATGTATAATCGTCTTCCTTCTCTCTCTCTCTCTCTCTCTCTCTCTCTTCCTTCTGTGTGTGTGCGTGTGCGCGCGCGCATGAGCGCATGCCAGTGTGAGGGGGAGGGATGCTAAAGGAGGTCAAAGTGGCCAAAAGGACACGTCCACACCCCACTAAATTATAGCTGCAATCTGGAGCAGAAGAGGGGGGAAGAATGTGAAGAAAAGGGAGAGGAGAAGATAGATGCCAGAGTAGGGTGCTCAGAGCTCAAAGTGGCTGACAAGGTATTGGTTTCTACTGTATGCCACACCTGCCTGTGATGCAGAGCAGAAGGGAGGGGATGGATAGGGGAGGATAAGTGAGAAATAAGGGTAAGGTGCAGGAGGATAGGCTAGGCAATAGATGTAGTGAATGCAATGTACAGACAGATGGCTGGACGTAAAGAAGGTAAAGGCTAGATCTAGGAGGTGAGCTTGTTTCAGTGGAGATGGGATCAGTTTCTAAGGGAAAATGGTCACACTTGACATTGCTACTACAACATGATGGAATGGTATCACTCGACAAAACGTGAACACTGGATGGTAACTAATTGTATCAATGAACTTCACTGTTATAAAGCTAAAGTCACTGTTACAATACCAAATTTACAAAAGAAATATTAACTGTCAGTATAAAATTGTTATTTTTAGCTCATTTTTCCCTGTTAGAGGTTTATGCTCAGTCTTAATGTGAGTCCACTAAAATCTTGGCTGGTTTTTACTTTGTTTACTAATAACCAAGAGAAACAGTAAATGAGCAACAATTTGACCATAAAATTTTCAAATATTTTTTGCAGATAAACCTAGATGCCTTTGTAAGAAATTAAAATAGGACATTTATGTATTTTGTGAAAATCTTGACATGTGCTACTTAACTTCTTTCTGAGAGGAAAGAACCAGTGTTGAGCAAGCCTACTCATGGCAATTGTTTCTTTTTCTTACCAATAGACAGTTGAAGGACAAAGGAAAAGTTTGGAAGAAACGCAGCAGCTCCTTGATCAGAGGAAGTAAGACAACCATTCGGTGAACCAAGCTCTGGATATTTATTTATTTGGTACTGACCAGCGTTTAACCTGACAGGGATTTGATCACAAAGTACAGAAGCTCCGTTGAAGACCTGCTCAAGGGGGATACAAGAAGATAGTAACATGGTGACTGTATGGTAGAGTTGGAATGTTAAAGAGGAGCTCGTTGCTACATGTGATCGTTTTCTAATCAGCATCGGCTACTTTTGTAATCGAGGTAGCCTTGAAGTTGGTCTGGCTTAGGAACATACTTTCAGTTTGTGCTATCTCATATTGTTGGTGGGTAATGGGTTCATGGGTTTCTGAGACGAGCATGCTGCCCAGCTTATATTGAAGGTTTACTGAGGACCAGTCATTTTGTTTAATGGGTAAATTTGATCCATGCCATTGCAAACTCATTGTATTGGAAAATTGCCATTAGTATTTATCTATTTGGAATTTCACGCTTATTCGATATATGCCGCTACTTACCCCTTCAAGATACATTCTAAAAATTTTGGACTGAATTGTCCGTTTTCTTCATTCATCCCCTCCTCTCCTGTTCGGAGATATTAGAATCTTATGAATATGAGAGATCCTATCAGGTATCTTAGTAACTTGCAATCTTATGATCTTGCTAGGCTGAAACGATATCGATCTTATTAAGGTATAGTTTCATAGTATTCTAATATTATGCGAGAGATCTATATGATTCCATGAGATTGGTAGGATATATGTTTCGATTGGTGGTATTATTTAAATTAAGGCGGATTTGAAAGTAATGTGTATAGGCTTTAATTTTTATAATGTATTACATCTCTTTTGATAGGATCCTGATCCTAAGATACAGTAAGTCAAAAAATGATCTTATCTGAATCTTCCTACGTGAAATTCATTTCTTTGAAACAAAATGATTCGTCTTCATTAAACCTCACATAGAAAAGTTTCCAGATCACAGCCAAAGAGCCCACAAGCAATACAACATTTGAAAATTAATGACGCAAGAGTATGACTTTTTTTCTTGTTATCACGGAGTAATTTGGGTTTGATAATGCGTCACCAAGTTCAAGAGAAAATGACCTATGACTATGAGAGCAAGTACAAAAGGTTGAGTCAGCCAAATGCAATATTGTCAACGTCAAAATCCTACACGAAGAAAAGGGAAGGGAGAGAGAGAGCAAAGCAGATGCTCATGCAGAATAGCTCTGAGAAAAGATGCAGTATCGTTTGCATGGGAATCCTCTGACATCCGATAGCTCTAGTAACTTCATTCGGCATCGGACGGAGTCAAGCTAGAACAGCGGATAGCCTCAGCACATCTATAAAATTATATTCTAAGCTCAACATGCAAACATGCCACCTTATCATCCACATGCATGCAACATCATCTGTAATTCGTTGAATTCTATAAATCAACATCCAATCATCTTCCTTCACAATATTTTCACAATATTTTTAACACACACATACACAAACACATCATTTTTATAATAATTAACATATATTCGTCCATATAATCAAAGTACGGGAATATCATATTTCATCTACAATCTCATACAGAGTCTACTAAATATATTTCTTCTCTTTGAACATGGTTTGACAAACCATTTTTATTTGTTGGGCCTGTTAGGTAAGCTGGTTGCAGTGGCTGCGGCTGCGCTGCAGCACATGCAGCCGAACAGGCCCGTTGTTAATAACTAATATTATTTTTACTTTTAGCTCGATTATTAAAAAATATTAAAAGTTAGTTAGGAATTTCCACAGCAAAGCGTGGGGAATCACCACAGCAAAGCGCGGGAATCACCCAGTATGACACAAAATCATCCACAACCATCGATGCCACCTCTGAGCCACAGCCACTGGCGCGGTGGCGCCGCTAGGAAGAAACTGGGGGAGAGGGGAAGGCCTCTGCGCCGTCGCAGACTCCATCACCACCGCCACAGCTTGCGCCTCCCCGGCGAGGCCCCCTTCATTGCTGCGCTCTTCCTGGCCAGCAAAATCGAGATGGCTCCTGATTACCCATGGTCTTCGGCCGCTCGCCGTCTCCTACGGCGCATGTGCGGGTGGAGCTGATCCCCGAAGATGCAATTTATCCAAAGCAACGATGCATTGTTATGACTTGTGAGATTTTGCATTGTTGTGACTTGTGAGATTTATTGTTAAGAGCATCCTGAGTGCTGCAATTTCGTCACAGATTTGATCCAAGTCTGTATTCATGTCAGTTGTCTCAAATTGCAGCACTACATGATGTATATGTGTACACCTTTTATTTTTATTTTTTTGCCATTTTGCAAGCAAACATTAGAGTATGTGACCAAATCTATAAAGAAATGCTAGGTGGGTGGTCTACTTGATTCTTAACTGTTATCAGATAATCAGGTCAGGTCAGGTGGTCTACTTGATTCTTAACTGTTATTCTCATTTGCACAGAAAGTTCATAAAGAAATGCATAGTACAGAAAGGCAGATTATATCAGATAATCAGAGTTGGGGTGGGTTGGAATATTAGGCTTGGTCCACACAGCTAGAGACTTCCTACCATAAGCGCATTTCACCTTTTCCTGCAATTGGAGATTTGGATCAAGAACAAAGCGAATATATCAGAATGCAAGCTATGAATCGAGTTAGTTAATTGTTTGCTGAACAGTAGAAACTATACTTGGTAGATTTTTATAATTGCTACTTTAAGGGGGAATAAAAGAAACTCTATCCTGTTTTCGATTGTTTTGACATGCGGTTTGATCTTTTCTTAGCAGTTACCGACTTACTGTAATCAAGCGAACTCTCCGATGAGAACTTTGGATGAGCTGTAATGTTGCCAAAGCAATTCTTTCCATGTTTTTCCCTCAAGCCTGGAGAGATGACAGATGTTGTCATCAGATGGGCCTCTCTCAGGTTGGCCCATTGATATTTCCTATTGGTTGGCCCATTACGCGGCTTCTTTTCTAGTATAATCTATACATATCCAGTAGAAGATGCTATATTTTAACCAGCAAAGTTGCTATATTTTAGGGACAGAGGTAATAGCTAGCAGGGTGGCACTATTCAACCTTTAGCATTTGACGGCGATGCTATGCACTACAGCAGATGCCAATGGCAGAAATCCAAGAACCGGTGTATGTATATGCACTGGTGTCTGGTGCCAATAAACAAATCTCTTTCAACCGCCAACAACTTATTGAATTAGTAGCTCCATTTTCCATATAATGTTTTCTAGGGAAGACACCATTTACTTTCAAAGCAGTACAGTACATAGAGAGTGGGAAGGAAAACTTTCAAAACCAGGGTCTAGATTAATATATTAGGCTGCAGCCATAAAAACACCATCATTTGTATCCCTGACAACAATCCCACACCCACCAGAATCTGCATCTTGTAGAAAAATAAGTCATCACAGTTTACCTTTAAAATGGGAGGCAAATTTGCATTTTCAGCTCATTTCACCTTTAGCCTACTCTTTCCTCAGTTTCTCCACAGCAAAACACTAATCAAGACAACAAAAGTTAGTAATCTGAAGTTGATAAAAAACAAATAAAATTAGTAGCACCTTTAGCATACCTTATAGTTGTATTTTGTGTTACAAACCTAGCAGATATCTCAGGTCCAACAAGAGTGGTCATTTGTGCCCTGTCCACGCTGGCAGGCACATGTGACGCTCTAAGGTGCCAAAAGTGGCAAAAAAAAATTAGAAAAGCTTCTCTCCAATTAATAATCGATCCAAAAAGGATTCAATGATTAGCACACAATATATTCTATCAATAAAAGTTATGGCAGGATGTCTAAATGCTTAGCACATAGAGAAGCCTAACAAGTACATACAGTTTCAGATGTCCTTTTGAGACCAATTGCAAGAGCTCCGTCATAACATCATTGAACAAACTTGAGAGAAATAAATCTGCTGGTTACCTGCAACGTTGAAATGACATAACAAAATATTATGATATGAAGTCAGAAAATTATTATAAATATAATTGATGAGCTGAAGCGCTAGAAGAGACTATCATTTGCTATCCATTCTGTAAGACATCGAGGGAAGTAGTTTGCAAACAAACATATAAGTAACACAATGAAGGGCAAAGGTTGTGTCTCAAATAAATTAAGTATGCATAAAAGAATATCACTAATCCATGAAATAACAAAATGCAAAAAAAATTTGTAGACAGTGACCAGCAGAAGCCATATTCCAAGGGTGAGCAACAGATACAGCACCAGCCACAGGAGTACCCTCACCTTATTCTCTGTGACACATAACCTAAAAGGATAACAGATAAGAAATACAAAATGAAAATTGCAGTTCAATTATTCAATACCAACTGCAGTAAATAGCAAATTGCATGCACGTGAGGAGATTATGGAAAATAAAACAAGAATATTGGCACCTATGCTTACCCTAACAGCAAACAAGGGAGCCTGTGGATACTTCTAATGAAGGTAATTGGAAAACCACATGGATATCTTCTGTCCATCCAGCACAGTAGAAACAATCATACTGCAAGGATAAATAGTTTGAGGAACAAGCACCAGTTGAACATGTTTCAGCAATTGCTACCAAACATGCAATTCTGTGACATCTTTTTTCCTGGTGCAAGATTCTGTATTTGAGGGTTTGCTAATTTCCACATGCTCCATCATTGATTTAGGCTTAACTCCACTTCTCCCATTTCCACTCTCGTGAAGGGATCCAAGTTTCAACCAGGGGATCTGGACCCATGGTTAGAAATCATAATAAAAAATAGGGTTAATTTGATCCATGCCATTACAAATATGCAGTGACTTGCCATTCGCTATCAGTCCTAACATTTACCATGTAAGACATGATTCAGTTTCAAAAGAACAAACATGAATTACTCAGCCACACAGTGCAAGGGATCACAAAAAAATAACAAATAAATTTAAATGATGTTACAAAGATACTCTCCACCATATTCAGTTTGCTCTCCTAGAAACCACCATATTAATTCTAGGGGACAAAAAGCTGAATTCCTACATTAATTAAAAAATTAGAAATTCTCACTGTAATCAGTAAAAAGAATAGATCATATATGTCGAATTTTCTCACATGTGAATCCTACAGCCTCTATTAAGCAATGCAAAGGAAGAGATTGTTTTCCGCATAGAAGTTAAAATTGAAATAAATAGTTGTCCGTGCAAATTAACATTACACAAAATTTGCTTGCTCGTGCAATGAATAGGTTGATTATATAACTAACTGCCTAGTCAATCACTTAATTAATACTCCAGTTTTTAATAGATGATGCTATTGACTTTTAGACATACGTCTGACCATTCGTTTTTTGGCAAATGCCTTTTTGAAACTTCTATCTGTAGTTCATTTTTTGGCAAATGTTATCATCTTTTGCATCTCTAGACATTGGTTTACACAATTACGTTTAATAAAAGCAATGTCAGTTAAAGCAGATGAATCTTCAACTTTCTAATGCCATATATCATTAAAAGATTTGCCTATGAAGAAACTTGCAGTTGTGGAAGAGACTGCTACATCATGTTTGGAACAAGTTCAGAAGGTAGGCAAACATTTAAAATGGATTTTATGGCAAATTTCTAGATCTTATTTATTAAACCAAATTTGGTAGCGCAATCATAGGGACTTACAGAAGCAGTAAAATCACTAGTTAATCCAGTCATCACAACAAGAGGTGTTGAATCATCCCCAGAAAGGACTACATCTCAAAAGCCAATATCTGCTTCTGCAACATAGAACTAAATCATCAGGCATCTCTTGCTAGCCTATCAATCTGAAGCAATCAAAAATCATCAGCACCTTCACAATCAGAAGCTAGTAACTAATGTAAAGCAATGGTTCCACCATCACAAACCATGTACGGTTGCCCATGTTACAGAAAATTCAACAAATATGATAAACTAACAAAAACTATAGCTGCAGCATCGTTCTAGCTTTATCTCATGGTGTCCAAACTAAACAGAACATGAATCTCTGCCATATAGTAAATTTAAGTCAGTTAGGTTTCTGAAGTAAACTCACACAAAGGCAGTATAGGAGTTTCCTTTTCAAATATTGGCTGCTCAACAGAAGACTAACAGTATCATCAGTTTAATCATTCCAGTAAAGTGGCATTAAAATTAATGCCGATGTTCATCAAAATTAATCTTAAATTCTTAATACAAGACTTCGTCTCATTCCTTTGCTCCTCAATGATAAAAAAATTTAAATGCAACGAACAAATTAAAACAATCAAGATATCCTCACAACCATCTTGTTCTTCTTTCCAGCAGATAGCAACAGCACTTTCCCATCAACTACATCACCTTCCTCAACCAACTTATCCTCGCTATCAATTCTTATGTTATTTAAGTATAGCCCCCCTTGCTTAATAAGCCGCCTAACCGCTGATTTGCTAGCAAGCAAACCTGTGGAGACTGCTAGATCAACCAGGGGAGACTTCAAAACTTGGCCATATGGCAAAAAGCATGATGGTACGTCATCTGCTATCCCCTCAATTGTTTGTGAATCCAACTGAGTCTGTGCCCCAGGCCGTAAGGCTTCCGTGGCTTTCAACGCTTCCTCCAATCCCTCCTCACCATGCACAAAACGTGTGACCTCTTCTGCAAGCCTCCTCTGAATTGTGTTCGGCACATAGCCAGGCTTCTTCATCGACTCTTCCAGCTCCTGAATCTCATCCAGGCTCATGAATGTCAGTATCTTCATAAACCTTATGACATCAATATCTGGCACTGAGAAGAAGTACTGATAGAATTTGTATGGTGACAACATCTTGGGCGAAAGCCAGATTGCTCCATCCTCCGTCTTGCCAAACTTCGTCCCATCACTCTTCAGCAGTAGTGGGAATGTCAGGCCGTGTGCCCCCTCAACCTGTAAAATCTTCCGAATTAACTCAGTCCCCGCTGTGATGTTTCCCCACTGATCACTTCCTCCAATCTGCACATTAACACCCATATTGCGGAACATGTACAGGAAGTCATAGCCCTGCAACAGCTGGTAGGTGAACTCAGTGTAGCTCATTCCGTCCTCGGACATAAGCCGCTTCTTGACACTCTCCTTGGCTATCATCGTCCCAACACGAGCGAATCTCCCCACCTCCTTGAGGAAATCCAGCAGCGTGATGTCCTTCCACCAGTCATAGTTATCAAGGATCTGAAAAGAACCCATCTTTTCTCCCGAATTGACCAAAGCCTGCTCATTTTGCTCCAAGTTCAAGTTTTTACCGGATTGCGAATGTTGGGAGGGCTCGGGTGCACGGTCAAGGATCTGGCCGATGAGCGATTTGATAGCGTTGGAGTTGGTCTCGACGGCGGCGAGGTCGAGCTCGGGCCGCTCGGCGCTCTTTCCAGAGGGGTCACCGACACGGCCGGTGGCGCCGCCGACGAGCGCGACGGCGTTGTGACCGCAGCGGCGGAACCAGGAGAGCACGACGAGCCCGAGGAGGTTCCCGAGGTGGAGGCTCTCCGCCGTGGGGTCGAAGCCGCAGTACGCCTTGAGCTCCCTAGGGCTCGCTGAAGCCGACCCCAGAGACTCAGAAGTGGTGGCCTCCACGAGCCCCCGCTCCCGGAGCACCTCCACTACGCTGCGCCGGATAACCGTGGATGCGGCGGCGGCACCGGCCGGGGCGGCGCTGGCGGAGAGGCTGCGGCTCTGGCGGAGGAGGAGACGGCAACGGTGAGGGCGGAGGAAGGTTCGCAACGAGGCAGCCATAGCGATGGAAGCCATCGCCCAAGGGAGAAACGGATTAGGAGGAAATTTGCTGTGCGCCCCCGCCCCCCTCTTCCCTGGTGATAGGGTTTCCGTACCACCCCACCCCCTAGTCAATACAAAGGGATTGTTTAGAGCATCGGGAGCTCATCCAAATATCATCCTTCATATGTCCATATGGATAGCTATTTAAAAAAGATTCCTCATTCATATCTCTTTCTACTCTAACAAATCATCCATATCACATCCTCCTATATTTTATTAATATCTTCCAACTAATCTTATACTTTTAAGAGATATATTTTGAACGACTAAATGCTAACGGTATTATTTATCGCGATAAAATTTCGAAATAAATAATTTTTAAGAGATATAATTTTAACGGGTAATTTTTTAATTGATATATTTGATCTGAGTGAATCATAGCAAGAAAAATCATACCAATACAAATAAAATGAACATACTAGTACTATCTCTACTCAGATTCTTTTCTCTGCTTGAACATACTAGTACTATCTCTGCTCAGTATTCTCTACTCTTCTCTACTACTACTACTACTATTTTCTCATAGCTAGTGAGGGCAACGGCGGGCGAGCGGGGGCGGTGGGGCGGTGGCAGGCGGGCGGGCAAGAGGAGCAGATGGGCGGGGAGGAGGCAGACTGCGACGGGCGGACGGGCGAGGCGTGGGCAAGGCGCCGTCGGGCGGGGAAGCAGCAGCAGTGGCCGGTGGGCGCGGAACCGCGCAGGCGAGGCGGTGGATGCTTACACGGGCGGGTGGCGTAGGCGGCCGGCGGGCGGGGAAGCGGCGGCGGTGGTCGGTGGGAGCGAAGCCACGCAAGCGAGTGGCGTAGGCGGCCGGTGGTTGCGGTGCCGCGCAGGCGACGGCGGCGGTTGCTAAGGTGGGCAGGTGGCGCAGGTGGGGGCGGGATCAGGAGCGGCAGCAGCTGCTGCAGGCGGGCGCAGAAGCGGCGTCGGCGGCCGGCGAGCAACGACGACGACGGAGGGTACGTTGATCCGGAAATCCCGATGAGGGCGGGAGCAAGAACGTTGAGGTATGGCGTGAGGAGAGTGAATTGCTATATTTGGCCGAACTCTCTCCGATTTGGTGCAACGTCTATTTTTTGGAGGCCTCGATGCCGTATCTGTTGGAGGGACAATTTCTTATCCCATGCGCTATATTTCGAATGGAGTACCGGATAGAGGATCTGCTAGGGATTTTTTTTTCCACATCGAATCTTTCGACACATGCATAGAGCATTAAATATAAATATAAAAAAACTAATTGCATAGTTTGCATGGAAATCGCGAGACAAATCTTTTAAGCCTAATTAGTCCATGATTAGCCATAAAGTGTTACAGTAACCCCACGTGTGCTAATGATGGATTAATTAGGCTTAATAAATTCATCTCGCGGTTTCCAGCCTAGTTATGAAATTAGTTTTTTCATTCGTGTCCGTAAACCTCTTCCGACATCCGGTCAAACGTCCGATGTGACATCCAAAAATTTTCTTTTCACGAACTAAACACACCCAAAGGAGAAACACAACAAATCACACGATATCTATTATCTATATGTCTATTTTTATCTCTACTATTATAAAAATTGAAGATGTTTTTGCCGATACTTTTGGTACGTCATCCGTGTTTGAATCGGTTTTTAAGTTCAATCGCTTTTGGAAATACAGATCCGTGTTTGAGTCGGTTTTTAACTTTGTTTGTTTTTAGAAATACAGAAGAAGTCATATAAGAAATCTCTTTAAAAACTTGCATGTTAACTTGAGACGACCGGACCTCTAATTGCAGCTCATGATTTTGTAAAAAGAATATCCAAGCGAATTCCCACGGTGAATTTCACCTTAGCTAAACCGTACAACAATAATAATATTAAAACGTTGCAACGCACGGGTATTTTTTCTAGTCTATACTAGTATAAAAAGGAGTAGTTCAGTTTACCCCTTCCAATTCAATAGGTTAAATCAGGGCCTGTTTAGTTCGCGAAATGAAAATTTTCGGGTGTCACATCGGACGTTTGACCGGATGTCGGAAAGGGTTTTTGGACATGAATGAGAAAACTAATTTCATAACTCGCCTGTAAACCGTGAGACGAATCTTTTGAACCTAATTAATCCGCCATTAGCACATGTGGATTACTGTAGCACTTATGGCTAATCATGGACTAATTAGGCTCAAAAGATTCGTCTCATGATTTCCTCCCTAACTGTGCAATTAGTTTTTCTTTTAATCTATATTTAATACTTCATACATGTGTCCAAAGATTCGATGTGATGTTTTTGGGAAAAAAATTTTGGAAACTAAACATGGCCTCAATGGTGAAATCCCTACCCTTCGCCTGCCCATCACGGCGATCGTGGTTCCCTGTCGGCTAGCGTCGATGGCACTCTTCCTTCTCCCCTTGATATTGCCCTCGATGTCGTGCCACCTACACTCAGATTTCGCCATCCGCAATTAAAACCACTCGGCCTTCTCCCTCGCTCAATCTCGCTGGCCGTCTCTAGCACCGTAGCCCGCCAGCCGCTTCCATCCATGCATTCGCTACTACCGTAACGGTCTCTGCCTTCCCTTCGTTGCTGCGGCGCCACGCCAATCTTCGTTTTCCCTTTCGCCGCCACACCACGGGCTCAATCAGTCGCCCATCCCGTGCATACGCTGCCATCCGTTGAGCCTCCTCTGCTACATCGCGCCCCAAGGGTCATCAAGTCACCTCCACTAGCCGTCGTGCGGGGCAAGCCTTGCTGCCGCACGGCATGGAGTAAGTGGTTTTCCGTCGGAGTCCTTGCTGCTCCGTGATTCTGCCACCAGAGCATTCTCGAGTCCGCATATGACAAAAAATGACGGACCAATTCGATCGCAGTTCCTCTTGACAGCGGGTTAGTAATATCAATCCATTGAGTGCTAATTCCATTATTTCAGCTTACATGTTATGTTAATGATTATTGAAACACGTCCTAATTTGATTACTACTTCCTGACAACATGATTGGCCTCGACTGGATTTGAATAATCACCCAAGGTCAGAAAGCGACTGGCCTCTGCTTATTTCAATGAACATACAGAGCACTGTATCACAATCGCCTGCACTAACAGGTAAAATACACACTGAATAGGGACATTGTGTTGTTATGGATGTATTGATGTCTTCTTTTTTTGCCAAAACATTTGATTTATTTTATACATATGATTTCCTTCATCTGAATTGCTTCCTGTATTGTACATAGATTTTCACTAATGTTATGTATATTTTTTTAATTTGCTGAACTCCCAGGATTAAACTTGGTTACTAAATGTTATGGTTCCTTTAATCACAGCCAACCAACGGATATGCACATATGAGGTAAAATTTGTCATCGGAAAGTTAATAAAATTTTCTTTACTTTTGGAGAAAGTGTAACTTGTGGGTTTTGATATACCATTTGAATTGAGAAATTTTTCAACCTTCAGATGTACCTCTTCCTTATATCTGATCCCATTGAATGATAGAGTGCAGTGGCTACCGATGATGTGGCTGAACATTCATATAATAGGAAAAATCAGAACATCATTTTCTTTTAGGACATAAAGCTCACCACTAATTGCACATCGGCCTAGAATGTGTTGGATATGGTTCTGACTGGATGTAGTCCCTTGATAACTTCTTCTACATATGGAACATATGGAAGTAAAGAAATGGTTTAATTTTTGATAATATTGCTCTTTTTGTTTCCTCTTAGAGAGTTCTCTTTAAGAATGATCTCTCCCTTTTAGTCCATAGGCTTAATTTATTTGAGAGAGATACACTTACTAATTGGATTAATATGTTGTAATTATTTTCCTTTTATTTTTTTTCAATATATTAACTGTGGGGGCTTTCCCTACAGTGTTTTCCCTTAAAAAAAAATAACTTCTTCTACAATCACATATTCTTTTGAGGATGGGATAATTATTAGGAAAACATAGATGGTAAAATTATTGTAATAATTGCCACTTAGACCGGTGCTATGCCTATGAGCATGTGACATTATCAAAGTTTATGCTTTTGTAGGTGTGACAGAAACATCTGAGGGCCAGTTTCAGGGGGACATATTGCCATTTCGCATTAGTTTCTCATTGTTGTGTGCATGCATAGGCAAAGGAGAAGAGTGTAGGGAAACACTAATCATTCCTTAAAGGGATATCTCCTTATTTTTACATGTCCCTTAAAAGGTTATCAAAAAAATTGAAAAAAAAATAGTAAGATAGATCAATATGTGATATATCATTCCGTAAACATGCATATTCAAATTCAACTTATACAATTAAAAACAAAAACAACAAATTTGACAATGAATAGAATGTGTAAATCATGGTTAAATTTGTTATTTTTGTTTTGAATTGTATAAATCGAATTTTAACTTACATGTTCGTTTCAAATTATATAAGTCAAATTTTTAAAAAAGATAACTTCTTCTACAATTACATCAAGATGTGCTTTGCATTTAGACAAAAAAATATAGATCCTAAATTAGAAACATGCATATTCAATTTCAACTTATACAATTAGAAACAAAAACAACAAATTTGACAATGAACAGAATGCGTAAATCGTGGTTAAATTTGTTATTTTTGTTTCAAATTGTAAAAGTCGAATTTTAACTTACATGTTTGTGGAAAGGTATATCATATATTGATCTATCTTAACATTTCTTTTTAAAATTTGTTGATGATTTTTTAAATGAAATGCACAAAATGAGAGGGTGCCCTCTCGAGGGATAAAAATCCATCTCCACGAGTGGTCTTTATAGTGGCCAAGGACTTGCTATCGACATGCCAAAATTCACCTTTTTAACATTATCAACTCTTGTTCCTGGGTGATTGGGAGAGAAAACACCTCGTTTTCTGTACGCACACTTCCGAAACTACTAAACGGTGCGTTTTTTAAAAAATTTTCTATAGAAAAGTTGTTTTAAAAAATCATATTAATCCATTCTTAAAATTTAAAATAGTTAATACTCAATTAATCATGCGTTAATGGCTCACCTTATTTTGCGTATCTTCTCAATCTTCTCTTTTCCTCTCCTCTCAAACAATCCCTCCGTGGTGTGAAGGTAATCTCACTTGAATTAGTATAGGCTACCATTTACACCTGAACATTAGAAACCGGAAATCTATTGGGCAAATACTTATTTTGCGGGTGAACATTTTTTTATTAAATTTCAGACTTCGGTGTGTCCTATGGTCAGAATGCAGTACCTTTTAGACTTATTCATTCTGGATTACAAACTCTGGAAAACGGTTGGAGATACACAGATATTACCCAACAAGAAAAACCAGGACATTCCATTTATTTCTCTACTCCTCCTTTCATATATATCTATGTTCGTTATTCTTCAATTTCTTTCATGTAGATATTTATTCTAAAGCGATGTTAATCCATTAAATTATGCATGCTACATATTAAGTCCTATACCAAACTGTGGAGATTATGGATACCCCATATCTACATGACAGTTATAATTTAGTCGGATATATGGTACCAAATATAGATAGAATATCTCTATGAGGACTCGGGTTAGATTCTAAACTTGTATGTCAAGAAAATACCCGGGATCCTAGTCGGTTACGATTGTATTTTATCTATAATCCCATATTCCGTTAGGATATGGACGGTACTTTGTAAAGCGAACTCCTTCCCCTATATAAGGAGGGTCCATGTGCCTCTCGGGGCGCGATTCTTTTTTCCAATTTATACAATCAATAACACACTCGGCGGAATCATCCCCGGACAGGAGTAGGGTATTACTTCTTGAATAAGAAGACCTGAACATGTATAAAATCCCTTGTCTCCAAACCCATCCACTTTCCTAGCTTGATAGCCACCCCCTTTTATTATTGTCGAAATCTTGCTTCGACAGTTGGCGCGCCAGGTAGGGGCAGCGTCAAGTTTTTGCCGACTAAGTGCGATGGGTTCCGTTTCTGGCATCGACGACTTCGCCTTCCCTCCTGAGCAGACGTTCCGGTTCGGCAGCCTCAACTTCATCACCAACGACTTCGGCAAGATCTCTCTCCTTGACTCGGATTCCAACCAGTCGGGAAGAGACCAGGTCCCTGTGCCGTTCGGTATTCCGAACTCGGCCGAGGCCTACTCCAAGATCATCTCTCCCGAGTCGGCTTCAAACCACTCGGACGAGATCCAATCTACTTTTCCGCCACCAGATCAAGACGACGGGTCCTATCCCTCAATCCTGATGAAACTTCCTGATGATTTGGCCGCTGTCTTCACAGTCAAGACATCTCCCACTCGAAGATCTAGGCGAGCTCCGGCTTCGGCCCCGATCCGATCTAGATCCAGGGAGGTTGGCGTTATACTCCAACCTCTTGGGACAGTCTCGACGTATGAGATTTTTACTCGGATTCCTATCAAACATGTCTATTTTTGGACCTTTGAGTATTTATCACTCAACCCTTCTTGTATTTTTTGTCCTTGATATGTTCAAGTTGAGAAGCAGTCGGCTGGGTATCTTACTAAGTACCATGCGTGCTTCGCTATAAAACCACTCGGTTCTTGACTATATGTTTAGTTTTTTAACTAATCACATAGTCGGGGGCTACACCTAATTAGGTGCATCTACTCGATGCACCATGTTTTATTTTCGCCCTTCGCAGTCTTTGATTTTAGCACTCGGCAAGCTGGAGCAAGTTGAATTGAAGCACTCGGATTACTGTTTTTTGTTTTGAGAAGGCTATTACTGTCAATTGCGAAGGTCTCGGGGACTACTGTGGAGATGATGGATACCCCATATCTACATGACAGTTATAATTTAGTCGGATATATGGTACCAAATATAGACAGAATATCTCTATAAGGACTCGGGTTAGATTCTAAACTTGTATGTCAAGAAAATACCCGGGATCCTAGTCGGTTACGATTGTATTTTATCTATAATCCCATATTCCGTTAGGATATGGACGGTACTTTGTAAAGTGGACTCCTTCCCCTATATAAGGAGGGTCCATGTGCCTCTCAGGACGCGATTCTTTTTTCCAATTTATACAATCAATAATACACTCGGCGGAATCATCCCCGGACAGGAGTAGGGTATTACTTCTTGAATAAGAAGGCCTGAACCTGTATAAAATCCCTTGTCTCTAAACCCATCCACTTTCCTAGCTTGATAGCCACCCCCTTTTATTATTGTCGAAATCTTGCTTCGACACAAATGTCCCTGTGTTTTTTGTGGTGTTTCTTTTTGCTATAGTCTGGTGTGGAAAATATGGTGAAGGAAAAGAAAATGCTAGATTTCTTTAAATTAAAAAGGTAGGTTTTCTTTTGCTATCCAGATTCAACATTTCTCATGGCTCATTATTTTACAAGATGATCATCTTTTGGTGTAATAATATTTGAGTTTTTTGCAATTAACCGGTTTACACTAAATTTCTATTAACTATGGAAAGAATGGTAAAACTTCACTTAGAGCACGTGGTTGTGAACTTGTCAGGTTCAAATCCAAATCTTATTATCCATTTCAGAAATCAATCACTTGACATGTGAAGTCACATTTGTTCAAGCTACCTTTTGGCTTATTTAGTCATTTCACTGTCGAAGGGAAGCCACATTTGTTCCTTTCTTTTGTAACATAGCCATTCAGTGGATATAAAAAGCTATATACCATTCTAGCTTCATTCTTCCCTGTTATTTTCGGTTTGACATATTTTAGTCCATGGGTTGTTGACAGAGAATTAAGAAATAATTTCTTTAGTTTTTTTTTGTTTGTTGAAGGTGAAACAAAAAGTCGGCAGACCTTGCTGTGTGGCAAACGAATGAGGTTGTGGGGTCAAGAGAGATGAGCAATCCATATTGCTTGATCCTAATTCGGGCATGATGGTGGAGGCGGTGAGAAGTTAAGTAGCGTGAAAAGCATAGTTTCTCAAACCTTTGGTTTGAGACTTTTACTTTTATTTTGTATATTGATTCTGATGGCGGATATTTTGCTGGCTACCTAGCGAAATTCAATTGCCACACATAAACAATGTGTGGGGTTTAATTCCTTTTTTATGTAATAGTTTTAATTTATGTTTTTCAATACGTGCATTGCACGTGCACTACTACTAGTCTTACAAAAAGGTAAATTGATACAACGATTTGGAATTAGGTAGGTACGACTTATTGTAGCAATTAGCAAGTGGGTGCATCTTAATACAATAACTTAAGAATGTTCCTCCGTCTCACAAAAAAACCACACCTAGGATACTATTGTGTCAAATCCAATCCTAGATTGGTTTTTTTAGACGAAGGGAGTACTATTTTAGTGCAGCAATTTAGCTAAGTATGTGTTATTTTGGTTAACGAATGCTAGATGAGTTTTTTCATGATATCATGTTATATTATAATGTTGAATTTAATCTATAAAAAACTAATTGCTCATCCAATTTATACCGCCATCTTGGATTTTTTTCTTCACCTTCTAAAATCTCAACCAAAATACATAATTCTTTTGATATTAAAATATAATTGAGAGTTAATAAATTGAAGTATGCTTATACAAATTTCACAAGTATATTGAAAAAAGGAGTACTTAATTAAGTTTAGTTTTTTGCATCCATATACTCACCTATTAAATTTTTGCACTAAATAACACCCACTTGTCAAGTTATTACACTATAGCACGCACTTCTCAAGTTATTTCACTAAATTACACCCACCTGCCAAGTTATCATACCATGGATGCAATTTACTCTTTTACAAATTGTCGAACAATATTGCACCACGTTATTGCAAAGTGTTTTAACATGTATCAACACCATGAAAAAATTTTCAATAAAAATGTTTCGGATCTTTCATTGATTGAAGAAAAGTGTTTCATTGCTCAAAGAAAATATATTGAATTTTCAACACAGAGAAAAGGGGACCAACCATTTAACCGGTAAAACATAATCGAAGCACACTTGGAGCATTTAATTTATAGCGATTGAAACATCGAGTTTTCTCTATTGAGGGCCTGTTTGGCACAACTCTAGCTCTACCCCCACCTCTCCTGGAGCTGGAGCCCAGCCAAACAGTTTCAGTTCCACCTAAAGTGGGAGCGGAGCTGGGTGGAGTGCTCTCATAAAATGAACTAGAGAGGTGGAGCTGGATTTAGACAGCTCCACAACTCCACTCCAGACTCAACTCCTAGAGCTAAATTTAGGAGTTAGAGCTCTACCAAACAAGCCCTGAGACATCCACGGACCTCGCTTATCAAAGATATATATATATATATATATATATATATATATATATATATATATATATATATATATATATTATACCATCAAAATTAACGTTGAAACATTTTGATCCAACACAAAAAATCGAAAAAATTGCAAAAAAAAAAATGTACCACTCAAGATCCTCCTTCCTCCTCTCCGGTGGCCAGCCATCACCGGGCTTGCCACTAGAGCACTCTTCCATGCTGCCAACGGATTGTGGCTGCCATTGTGTCACACCACCGTCGAGGAAGCTGAGGCCTAGCTCGCACCACCAACATCGAGGATGAGAGATCATCGTTGTCATGTCGCACTACCATCGAGGAAGACGTGGCCAACCACGTGCCACCCTCAAGGAAGTTGAGGTAGAGCTCTCGCCATGTTGCCCATGCCATGCTGAGGACGAGAGGCGAAGCTATTCTATGCCGTGTCGAGCGTTGGGAACGAGAGGCGGAGCTCGTTACTTTACCTCCATCGCATCAACAACGAGAGAGCACATCTGTTGGGGATGAGATATGGAGAGAGAAGATACGGATAGGGGAGCAAGAGGAAACGATTTTTGTGGTGAGAAATGTCTCCAAGAGATGTTGGGCGTTCGATATTTGGCTTGCTATGGACACTCGATATGAAGCGTTTCTGCAATACAAGTAGTAAGATTAGATAAAACTTTTTAAACTTTCTATCGACTTTTGAGGTCACGACTACGATATTTGGATGGTATGGAGATCTTCGATATTTGGTGTCTATTCTGATTTGTGCATCTTGTGTCTTGGCTTGTCTTGGTTTTTGTTGGTTTGTCCATTTCCTCCTAGGGTGCTTGTATTTATACCCATAGGTGTCCCCTTGTCCAAGTAGACTAGGGAGACCAATATGGATACGATCCAAATAGACTAGAGTTGCCCTCAGCAATCGGAGTTCGGTACCCTTCCTAGCCCCTAGCTGTTTTTATGGAAAAGCCATTTTCCACAAAGACAGCTTAAATCTTATAACCAAGCAAGCTGAAGCTGACAAAATCCTAGCCCCTAGCCATGAAGTTGGGAAAACCAATTCCCGATTGCACGGCTTAGTTAATACGCATTCAGAATAGAGCAAAGGAACGATATGATCGACTTCGAGACAGGGCGATATAAGAAAAGAGGATCAACGGACAAATATTGCATATACAAACACTTACAGAGGTTGTCGGAGAATCCATCTCTTGAACCCATCTCGTGGAGACCTTGAAGCATCAAAATCCCCCTAGCGCGCCACTGTCGACTTTTTAGGTTACGACTATGGTAGTTGCATGGTATGGACATCGTTGGTACCAGGGTATATGCAAGATTCAGGTAAAAGAGATAGAGACAAGGGTTTTTATATAGGTTCGGGCCCCTTATCTGATAGGTAATAGCCCTACTCCTGTTGGCCGAAGCCGGTGTTGCTCTTATTCATCTGAATCACACAAGTACAATATTTGGGATAACCTATCTAGCTGTCGTCGACTTGGCGGCATAGATAACCAACACGTAGTCAACGACAGGGTAGTCTTCCTTCTCGAGTACGAACTCACCGAGATCAGAGATGGCGCAAATCCCTCTTGTCGGCTTCCGCAGGCACCATATTGGGTATGTCTAGGCTCATCTCTGATGTCAATGTCTAGCGGCGTGTGTTGGTTTGTTCTGGCTTGTCTTGGCTTAGTCCCTCCTCCTCTTAGGGGTTTTGTATTTATACCCATAGATGTCCACTTGTCCAAGTAGAACTAGGGACACCAATATAGATACAATTTGAGTAGTCCTTATCATTTCCACATAGAATTCTACTTGTCCTTCCTTATCCGGAACTCCTTTTATATACGAGGTATGATTCCATATAAGACTTAGTATATGGTGGGTGATGAACCCTAAGTTCCACTCGAGACTCAAGGCTGTTGTTGGCCCGATCTTTCGGTGAGTTGAGATAACTACGATTTGGGAGACACGTTGACGGCCCAACTACAACCGTACAAGACATTGCGTTGCGCCTTAGCAATCGATACACCTCTCCATGGGTTGTTGATCTTGCCGGTACAAATCAACCTTATTCCTGCAAGCAAATCGAAGAAACAAGCAAGAACAAGATAAAAGCAATCTGAATTTCCAATAGTTGTTGAATACGAATGATAAGTTGGGGTTTCGAATACAAGCAGATGGATGGTCTAGCCGACGCGCGCGCTGCAAGGAAGTAGCAATGGCTAAACTTTCATCTAAACAAAACCCGAGAAACCCTTAAGGGGTACCTAGCTATTTAAGGAGGTGGGAGGACGACCAAGAGGGTCCTAGGGTCGTGCTCCACCAGCTTGGGGCGCACCCCACATGGGCCCCACCTGGTCCGGGGTCCCAAATGAAGTTACAAGCCCACAGGCCCATTATAGGTGACGCAGCACCTTGTTCCTGTGATTCCGGCCACACGAGATGGAATTCGGAGAAGAAGCTAGATCCGTTGGAAAGAGGGCTCCGAGAGCTTTCCATCAAATACTCACGGGCCGAAAACGGAGGTCGTATGCAGATTCGGCGGCTGTTTGAAGTCAACAGTGTAGTAGGTGGCCGAATCGGATTCCAGCACTGGGAGGACTTGATCTCGATGTCTTCTTGTTAGTCCATGATGTGAGCAATGGTTGCATCCGTGGTAGCCATGGTCACATCAGTGGGCCCCACTGAGCTTAGTCAATTACTATTGGGTATGTGGTATACATAACCATGATAGCGGCCAAAATGGCTCTCGCGCGGAAACAGCCTCCATGCGGCTCCGCCCCACAAGCTATATGACAACCATCACTGCTTCCAAGTTCACTTGCGAAGGCGATCAACGAGGCCGCACTACCAGGGCAGTCTCCATGTCACTGCATGCTCCACACAATCAGAGCTGCATCAGCTCACCGTGTCCGCTACGACCGGCGGACGGCTCCACAGCTGGCAACGTCGGCTGAAGCAAGCCATCGAGGCCAACTCGTCACTCCACGCGGCAGAAGCTGCCTTGACCTTGCTAGCTTTGCGGACGGACAACCCCGCTACTGTTGATATTTCTTAACGACATTACTAGAAATATAATTCCTAGCAATGATGTAGAAATATTCATGGTATACTTATGGTTACAGATATGATCCGCAAGCGCACGGATATACCATTTTTTTAATCCAAAGTGAAGATATGATAAGAGAGTACTATGCTAATAATTTATATATTACTTGCGTACATCAAGGTCGATGTAGGGGTTAAGTAATTCAAAGGTTAGGTGACACACAGAAGAAAGAACTATGATACTCTCACTAAATATAATCCAAGCTAAGTGGAGGAAGAATAAGAAAATAATTCATTCCTATACTTCTAATATGCAAACATCTTTAGTCTACACTTGTTAGTATACAGTCATGCAACCAATACCCCCTAACAGTGCCCTCCTGGTGTTTCGAGAGACCACCCCGGGTTGCCGAGTTCCTTACGACAATCTGTAATGGCTGTCCAACCGGGGCTAAATACGGAAAAGTACCCTCCCCAGGAATTTGTCTTAGGAATATATACTATCATGGAGGAATACCTGTACTGAGCTGTCACCATTAGCGACCCACCTCGACTGACCCGTAGCATATATGCTCAGATAGGGATACTTAATAATCTAGATACCACGTCTACATTATTAAATACTACTCTATATCCCCCGAGATGACATAGAGCAACCGAGCAATCGGACACTAAACCCACACCATTGCACCTCTCTGATAGACTAGCTACACAACTATATTGATACAAGTATAAAATGAAGTCGGTACTCAGATAATATAAATGGAATAAAATACCGAAGATGTATAAAGAAAAATATTCTATTAATTCAATAAGTCTTACAAA